CTCATGTAAGTACAGAAAAAAAAGTACATAAATTTGATGCAGTGAACAAACGGCAAGGTTCGCTTGATTGACAACCATTAGTTGTCAATCAAGCTTAAGTTTCTTTAAGTATAAGTCGTTATGATCAGTATCTTCCTTTTCCTGAAACCGGCAAGTGCCTGGATGGGTTAACCGATTAAGATGCGCGGTTTTGTGAAAATCGGAATAACCTCTTATCAATAACTCATATCCGTCTAAGAATCCTGTATGCGAACAGAAATTTGCTAAATTTCAAAGTACGAAAGACGTTATATACTAAGTGACATATAAATCCGAACACCCAGTTTAAATGGTTTTATTTTAATAAAAGTTGGTGAATGTATTTATCTTACTGTAAATAACAAGTGAAAAAATTTTCACCCTTATCAGTTGGACATTCCGGTTTTTATACTGCTTTTTTTTAATTCAGTAACGCTCTAAAAATGAATATTTCAGTCGCAGTAAAGAATCAACGTTGGCGGATTTTGGTTCTTGACATCCTTTACGATCGGTTACGATGCCTAGAGTACGGAGACCTGTACGATTTCGTCAACTTAGTGAGTTTGATAGGGGCCGTATAGTGGGACTTCGGGAAGCTGGACCTTCTTTTCGGGCAATTGCAGTTAGAGTGCAAAGAAGTGTAGACACTGTGGTTAGGTGTTGTCAGGCATGGCTTCGAGAAGGCCGTACGCAAAGAGCAAGGGGCACTGGACGCCGCCGTAGAACAACAGACCGTGAAGATCGCCGCCTAAGATTATTGGCCTTAAGGGACCGTTTCTCCACTACCAGGTCCATTGCAAATGAATGGTTTGCAGAACACGGAAGACCTATTGGCATGCGAAGTGTTTACCGACGAATGAGAAGTTTTGGCTTGCTTTCATACCGGCCACACTGGGTCCTCCCTTTAACTCGATAACACCGACGTACTCGCTTTCAGTGGTGCAGATAACGGTCACTCTGGGATCAGGAATGGAACAGTATTGTCTTTAGTGACGAGTCTCGATTTTGTTTAGGCATGCACGATGGTCGTACCAGGGTTAGAAGGCGACGTGGTGAAAGGAGGAATCCACAGTTTTTTGTTGAAAGACATGTTCATCACACTGTTGGAGTTATGGTTTGGGGTGCTATAGCTTATGGTTCCAGGTCACCTTTAATCTTCATCAGAGGTAACATGAACGCGCAGCGTTATATCCACGAAGTTCTACCCTATTCTACCCTATCTTGACACCCTGGCAGATCCAACTTTCCAACAAGATAATGCCCGACCACATGTTGCAAGAGTCACAATAGACTTCTTTCAACATAATGATGTCACATTGTTACCATGGCCACCAAGATCTCCCGACTTATCCCCAATTGAGCACGTATGGGAAATGATGGGTAGGAGATTGCTCAATTTGCAACGTCCTCCTCAGACTTTAGAAACACTTCGAGAGGAGTTTGTGGTTGCCTGGAATGAGATACCACAGGAGAACATTGACCACCTGATCAGAAGCATGCCTAGGCGCGTTGGAGAATGCGTAGCACATCAGGGTGCATCCACACATTATTAAAGGTCAAAGGGCTTGAAAGCAGTGCAATCATTTTGAAATTTTTATCATTTACTTATTATGCTTCATTAAGTACTTATACAAAGTTTTATTAAAATAAAACCATTTAAACTGGGTGTTCGGATTTATATGTCACTTAGTATATTTGCAATTTTGTGAAATTTCGAAAATAACGGGATAATGAACTTCTAAACGTAATTACAACTAAACCGTTAGCCTTAGGGCTGTGTTTTTTTTCTAGATGAGCTAAATGGTTAGCTTAAGCAATGGTTATGTCACTTTTTAACAGAGCTAATTAGAAATCAACGCCAGAAATCTTAAATTCATTTTTTTTTGTGAGAAATCTCTTCCATCCCTCAACTTTGGATGGCGGTAAAAAATTAAGGTTGTATTTCATTATTCATTTTATTGTAAAAACTATTTCAATCCATGTAGAATAAACCCTGAAAATTTCAGCATGCTACTATTCACATTCGTTGTTGTGATGGGATAAACGTTAAGAAACGCAATAAAATCCTTACCAACTACATACAGGTACAGAATCTATTGTGTTTAACCGCTGTTTATGGCGATTTACCGACAAATAAGGAAGATAATTTAATTTAACTAACTTTTAAAGAACATGTCCGAAATAGCCTCCATTATTTTCTATACACAAGCTACACTTTCTAATAAAATTTTCCTTCAATCTTTGAAATGAATTTGCTTTTTCCATTATTTTTATATTTGCTTCATCAATTTTCTGGCGCAGTTGGTTGACATTTGTATATTCAGATTATCCCCTTATAAAACCCCCATATAAAAATCTAAAGCATTTAGATCGGGTGACCTTGTATGTGTCCACCTCTACCTATCCAAATGGGTGTTCGGATTTATATGTCACTTAGTATATTAATCTTTTGTGTTATCAATTTTTAAGTATTGCAGTCTAATTTATTATCCTTATTTGTAAGCCGTAACAGAACATCTGTTGTATAGGATGACTACATGAAGTTCATAAATATTTAGTTTAAGAAAGCTTGACAATGTTTGGGATCGTTACTTCATAATTGGTTGGTTCAAGATCGCAGATTTAGTAAAATATGATTAAATTATCATTGTACGTAAGCTGCTTATCTCTAACTTCAATTTATTTTCGTGAAAGGCTAATTTTTAGATACAATGTACATCAATGATCTATCGATAACACATATTTCATTAACAATGCCCCTCCACAGTGCACCTCCTTTTAAACGGCCTTGCTCATACAATGCATGCATGTTGTACGGTAGTTTATATTATAGAGCAAAAGGCCTGCCTCAATTTAGTTGTAGAAGACATTTAAAAACTCTTCTATCTAATGATGCTTTTCAAATGAGTTTCTCTACAGTATATAATTTATTGCTAAGATATGTTTATGGCATGATCCATTTGTTGCTCATTTTCTCCTTTCAGCTGTGTGTAGTAAAGCTGTACTTTTCTGTACCATCAAATATTTTATGTCATAAATGGTTAAGTGTAATAATAGCTATTATAGCTAAACCATGCCATTAAGTTGCTCTCTAGCTTTATTATAGATAATATATGTATAATCTGCTATTTGTTTTGATAAAGGACGGTTGGTTTATTATTATTTTAGATGGAAACTGGGTAACTTTTATAAAAAGTAAAATAGTTATGTAAACAACATTTTATATCCGTTATTGTACCATAAAGTTATATAGCTTTCTTTAGCATGGATTTATACTAAAAGGCAACCTTTTCTACTATATGCGTGGTGCATACCAAAAACTTGACAATAATATCCAGCAATCAGATACATTTTTGCAGGAAAGGTAGAATGAGCCGGAAAGGCGATTGTTTTTGTTTCAGTTTCGATACATTTTTGGATGAATACAATTGGAAGATATAAAAATAATATAAAAATGACATTTACGAAGCAAGTAGTTGTGCGCGTAACATCTAAGGAGATTGCCTATTACAGTGTGTCATAACAATAGCATTTACTTTCTACAAGTATAAAAATAGAATGTAATAGAAACAAATATAACAGTATATGTTGTTTGAAAAAACGTTTTATTAATGCATATGAATAACTTAAGTTTGTCGATACCTTTCAAAGGCATTTTTATGAGTTCGCATTATCTTTCCATTTATGTACATAGATTTCTAATATCTTCGACATAATGATATTGCAGCACAGAAAATGTAAGGATTCTAAAACGTTTTTCCTGATTTAATGCGATAATTGAGTTTTGAACTCTCATCTAGGTGAGCAAGCTATAAGTAACTCATACATTGGCATATACTATGGACCCTCTAAATGGCCAATATTTTTACTACACCTGTCGCGTATTATGACGCGTATAATTTCGTCAGTCTGGTTTTGTAGCCCTTCAGATGAATAGTTATAAAAGTTTGCGTGTCTACACATTGCAGACAATATTGCCAAGAAATAGCCGATGTGTAGCTGATATTGCCGGGCCTTTTGCTGTTCCTTCCACGGTTTTTGTACAAATTGGTTGTCAACAGCAGTGGTTGCCAAGAGAAAGCTGGAATGTTAGCAGATAGTGCCTTTGTATTTTACAGAGTCCAAATAAGAATGCTGGCAGTCGGCCCTAATGCATGGTCTGCACATCTAGTGTTGCTCAGAAGACAGTACATCGACCCTTCTTCCTATCGGATGACTTGTAGACCATGTATCAATAAAATCTATTCAGTTTCATTCTTTTGCATTCCAAAAGATAAACATACACAAAATAAAAATGAACATTGGACATCTTGCTACTTGGACCAACAGCAATAAGTAATTCAACGTTGAACAGGAATTTTCAAAAGGAAAAAGATTTATTAGGGTGACCAGTCTGAATTTCCTTTTCCGATCTTAGATAAATGCCGTACAAAGTTTTGAATTTAGGTTTTTGATAAAGGGGGTATACACAGCATTTTGTCAAACCATATCAGCTGAGAATAGAAACAGACCAAATATTGATAATGCGGATTTTTCGACTTCATTTTTGAGTTCAATTGTTTTTCCCTACCAACGCTCAGAATTAGGTTTCGATGGAAATGTTTCAAGTACGCCTCTTGATATAACAACTCAACATAAGCTTACAAGGTGTCACCGGTATGGGTTCTTAGGCACGTGGGTTCAGGGGGTCGACTCCTGAATCGAGGGAGTAGAATAACTAAGAGAAAGCAGGAGTGGTCCTCTTACCCCTCAGGGAGCTGACAGCAGAGCCTTTTTCTTAGCCGTCATCAGCCTCATCCCTAAAGACGTTAGACGGAGTTAACCTTGTGATGGAAGATTTATTGATATAAAGAACCCAGAAGAATATTATTTTGCCGCTAATGAACGCATTCACAAACTTGCTTGACTAATATCTGCACCTGTCAGAATTACGGATTACTCCCCTGGGAACTACGCTCATTTTCTCTCAGTGATACTACTACCTCGTTTTCAAGCATACGGCTTCAAACGCATTTTCTAGGTTGACGCACCAACTCTTACACCTCAAACAGTCAAAAGTAATTCTAGGCTATTAATAATAAAAATAGAACAAACAAAAAGTTTGGTTAGCAGGCTTAGCAGCCAGCAATGGCAATCATATAGAGTCAACTGTCGGAAACAAGGTAAAGAAATATAGAGCTAACTCAGTAACTCAAAGAGCAATGGGGTCTCGCACAGGTGGAAATATTGCCGATGATAGTATCCGTCTCTTTCATAATTCCCATCAGCTTAAAAAAATCTCAAGTGAAAATGGATCTGAAGCAACCGTTGATTGCTAAGATGCAAGAGGCTACTATTCCTAATACTGTGAGAGGAAGGTGATGGGAGCTTGCTAAGAACAAAAATGTTAGCCAAATGCGATCTGACATGTACCTATCCGTGTGTTTGGATACCTCTTTCTTTGGACTAGAGTAGAGAATATGAACCACAAGGGGGAGAAAGAAAAAGGAATGATACGATTTTATTGCCCAACAGCTTATCGCCAATAGCAAAGCAGCTTATAAAAATAAAGGTTATCCTAGAGGTATTTCTATTCGAACAAAGCATATATACGTATATACACAAAATGGCAAGTTTTAACTTATAAAACGCGATTTATTCTTTATCTCATTAAAACTGCAACCAAAAATGTCACAGTTGTTAGCAATTTTATTGGCATTGTTACACATCATATTAACTGGTGCTTTCAACAATAAGTTATTCTGTGCCCTTTCGCTTGAAAAAGAACACTAGCTCGTGAAGCTCATCGTGGCACCAGAAATTGTAACTGCGAGAGTCTATTGTCCGTGTTACAGTTTGTACAAAATGGGTACAGAAAATTGATTCAGCCGCTGCTTTAAGGATTGAAAATCTGACTTTTGTAGAAAGTCATTATAATCGGAACCTCTTGCATCAGTTTTGAACTTTTTCTAGATTTTATAGATAGCATCAACATATTGTTTATAAATAAGGATTCATATAAGCGACCTATATTTAAGTTGTCAAAGTTCGTACAGTTTCTTATTATGAAGCCGTATGCTTTAAAAGCCCTAGAAATAATTTGATTAATATGATCATTGAAGGTTGGTTGCCGGTCAAAGAGACACCTAAATCTCCCACAGTTTCACAACGGTCCAATACGCAATCCTCCATTGTGTAGAGTTGTACCATATTAGTACATTTGGAAATATTTAGAAAAAGTTGCTATTTTCGCACCAACTTGGTACAACATAGATTTGTTCTTGTAGCACAACACAATCCTCCATCGAGGAAATAGTAGAGAAAAAATTTTGATCGTCAGCAAACATCGACTCAAGGCATTAAAAAAAGTTACATAAATATTAACGCAAAGAATGGACAGTAGCGGTCCTAAGTTGGAGCCTTGAGGAATACCGAAATGTAAGCATGCGAATCGTATCCATTGTAAAAAACATAGTGTGTCCTTTCTGAAAGGTTGTACTCTGGGCACAATCGGTGGGGCCCATGGACGTTGTCGATGATCCGCTTTGTGAGCAATGTGCTAATGAGGAGTTTAACGATTGCATTTCAGGTTGCGTGAGAATATATGGTATAGGTACACTAAAATGGGATCCAGTATACTGGAATCTGAAGGTATATCTGGATAGGACCCAGAGCCTTTTTTGAGGAAAAGGAATGGCACATCATCAAGAGTTTCCATGTTAAGAAGTAGCTGTTTTAGAATACTTCAAACCCCAGAAATTTTCTGCTTGCCCTATGAAGTGTTTAATGAAAAACTGGCATTCAACCATTCTTTAAGACCTTTGAACTGCTGTGAATTCAATAGAATGTCGTGCATAATTTATTTCTCTAAACAGATTACTGACTACACGCGAGGTTTTAAAACATGTGGTTTTACCACAAGATGTGAAGTCCTCCTGGCCAAAGAAAAACACATACGTATTAATTACGTTTTATCGCTGTTTCTGCCTTTACAACGTTTTAATTATTGAGAATGACAGTATATCTGTTTTACATGCGAGAGTTCATTTGATTTTTCTTCTCTTCTGTACTGTGTTGTGACAACAGCCAGAACGGTTCAGTACCACATCAGTAAAAAGTTATTCATACATAAATATGTGGTTTCATTTGGCCAGAAGGTCAACATGAAAATCACATCATTTCAGGTGTAATAATGTCCTCGTTTTCAAATAACTGAACAATTTTAGTATATTAATTTCAGCACGATTTTTCAAATTCCGTGATGTGATCACATCTTCTAAAATACGTTATAGGTTAGGTGCTGACCTTTTTAGGCTCTGTATGGTTTGAGACAGCGCAAAGCGCCCTCCATTATCTTTGGGTTTGCTCTGCATGATTTTTCTAATTAGAGGTATGATGGTATAAGTGTACGGACACAAATACTGTATTTTGAAACTGGTCAATCAAGGAATCTGAAAGTAATGTACTTTATGTTTGGAACCATGAATTATAAAAGAAATTCTGGAGTACTACTCACCATGATACAGTTGCAGGGCGACAGAGCCTGTAGTACCGAATTTTCACCCGCGCCTGCCGGTGATGCACCACCGGCGGCAGAGACTGCGAAACATCGCGTGGACGGGCTTCGAGGCCGCGGCCGTGATACTGCCTGGACGGTCAGTCGAGCCTGGCGAGACAGGTAGTGCGGCAGGTGGGGCCCACCAGCGGAGGAGAGGGGGTGCAGAGGGGTGGGGGGTACGACCGTCGACGACGGGGCCGTCATACGGCAAAAAGTCACGCTGGAACCGGTCCCAAACGCGCGCTGCTGTCGATGTCAGTACGATTGCCGCCGCGCCATGTTGCCAAGTCTAACGGTATGCGACAGTTGGGGTTGATGTGGGCCTGGTTGCATCAGAGACGCCGAATCATATGTGGAGTTAGAGCTCTAGCAGAGTACAATCCGTTTTAGACAAGAGAAAACTCTCAAGCTTCTATAAATCAGAAAAGCTTGATGACGTTTTTTCTCCAGGATTTGCTAAAATCATCATGGACGGACTAGTCCCAATGCGATGTTGCCAATCTTTTAAACTATTACATTTTTTTGGAAGCTGATGAAAAATTTGGGAAAAATGTTCCTATTGTACTAATACTTTTCAATCAATGTTGATACTGTACCCGAAAAGAATATATATTTTAAGATCACCCAATCAAGTATTAGAGTTTAGTTGAACTATTTGGAAAGAAGCAGTAGCGTACGTCAATGGTAGTTTATTTTATTGAAACAAAACAGTTTTTTTAGCCACTGTTATACAAAATGTCAAAAGTCGGTTCTTATGTTAGGGTCAGTCCATCTTTGATAAGCTGTAGAAGTCAATTGGCTTTCATGGACTTCGCCATATTACTAATTTGAATTATACAGTGTCGTCTTGAAGCTATTCAAGACAAAACTAGCATTCTTTAGGTGCGGTGTCTCAATAGATCACTTTCTAAACGATTTTGTAGAGTGAGTTCTGTATGCATCCAAAATATAGCCATTTTACTATGAAACACTCCCTCAGATCGAACCGAAGCAAAACTAGAACTAGAAATTCTCTCTACAACCAACGATGGTCAGGAACTCGGAGAACATCGGAAGACGAAGACATTTTTTGCTTTATCACTGACAACTTTTCCACTACTGAATCGATTTTAAAGATATATAATGCTGTTTTAAGCGTTGCGTGACAGTAATCATGTGGAAGGTTGTCATCAATATCCGAACATTACTTTTTTTTTACAGAGAAATTAATGGCCATGTTTACACCGTGGGTAGCAAACCACAGCACTATGCTATTCCTTGTGTCAACAGCACTCCGTACTTAGAAATGGCACAACGCTTACATCGTGGGCTATGCAAGAGCTTAGAGCAGTAACGGCCATCACTATATACACAGTGCCGTAGGGCCTGAGCCAGCGATTGGGATCGCATACAATACGGTTAAACAAATTAATCTCTGCAGAGATGGACAGAAAGATTCATCAATACTGGGAGTGATTAGCAGAGTTAACCCATTCTAAGGCAAGTATACCAATCTGGACATCAAAATATTTAAAGTTATAATACCTGATAATACTAACCCTATTTGAGCAACTGAAGAATAAGCAATTAAAGATTTTATATCACTTTGACGCAAACAAATTAATGAAACAATAAAACCTTCAATTAAAGAAATAACAATAAAAATATAATTAATTTTTAAACCAATCCCAATAAATAAAGATGTTAAACGAAATAAACCATAGCCCCCTAACTTTAGTATAACCCCAGCTAAAACTATTGACCCCGATACAGGTGCTTCTACATGAGCTTTTGGTAATCGAAAATGAATAAAAAATATAGGTATTTTTACAAAAAAACTATATTTATACATTAATAAATTCATTTGACAATTTATATATTATTGATCCAAAATTATTATAATAAAAAAAATTGAAATTATTATTGGTAATGAAACTAATAATGTATAGAATACAAGTAGGTAATAGGTATATCCCAGCTTCAATCCGTTCTGGTTGATAGCCTCACCCTATAATTAAAATTAAAGTAGGAATTAATCTAAGCTCAAAAAATAAAAAAGGAAATAAATTCAATGAAGAAAAAACTAAAAATAATCTAATTAATTAAAATAATACTATTAAATTAAATAAATAATAATTATTATATTATTTTTTCACTTGCTAATATTATTATCCTACAAATTCAGAAACTTGATAAAATTAAGGTATATCTTCATAAATCTCTTCCTAAAATATAAGAAATATTTAAATAATAATAATTAAAATTAAAATTTATTATAAATATAAAAGATAAAATAAATATTACCCTTACTACTAACCAAAAATTATATAAAAAACAAAAGAGAATTATAAATATTGAACTTAATAAAAATTTTATCATAAAAAAGACTCCTTGCTACGGCTGAACAGGAATAACCTCAAAGCTGTAGTAGGACTGTACACTCGGTCATTGCAGATTGCGTCACCACATGAGCAGGCTGGGCAGGCGGAAGACGCTGCATGCTGACTGTGCATGGAGGGAGATGAAACGGTCAGGCATGTATTGTGCAGATGCCCTGCAATTGCCAGAACTAGGTACAACGTACTTGGAGACGTAGTACTCCAAGCAGAAGACCTGAAGGATATAAATTTCTAGAAACAAGTTGATCGACTTCCTCAGGAGGTCGGAGCTACTGGGGGAAATATAAATAGGTGTGACCCACAATAGACTAAAGAGTCGCAGTGGAGGATCGCTATTGTTGCACTCACAAGAAACCTAACCTACACAGGGCCACTGATGTTGCGTTAAGGACTGCGCAGTTTAAATGGGCAGGTGTTGAGCCATTTCTTGGAACGGTGTTGTGTTGAAGATCGTCTGATTGATAACCCTTGTAGATGTCTTTCTTTTCACGGTATTTCAGTCAATTGGTTGAATGAAAATGTTCTCACATTTTCTTTGGCGTTTCGGTTTACTTTAAATGAAACCATCTTCAGAAACAAATTGGACCTACAACATCACAGCTGGTTAAAATGCATAAACGTCTCCAACACCTACTGTAAAAGTACAGACTGCACAAGTCACACTGCTTTCGCGGTTGTTAAAAGCAGAATAATTCTTATCTCAGTCAAAATGCAAGGAACGTATTTATATGAAAACTATATAAATAAAAATAGTAAACAAAAGATCGATTAGAACGATCCAAACAATAACTATAAGGGTATCAGATTAGATAGAGGGTTGGAAAGATGTAAAAATGGTGGTTTACATAATATATGTATATTTTTTATCTAATTTCTATTTTAAAATTAATGGATAATCTGATATTTTTTCTATGAATCAATTCTTTCATTCATCGCCTATAGTAGCTGCTATCGTGGTCAATTATCGAAATCGGACTTGTTGTAGCTTCTTTAGTGTATCATGAAAAAGTAGTGCCATTCTTGTTTTTCTGTACATCGTTTTTATGATCCTATTCCTTAAGAATTGTTGAGTGTATATAACTTCCGTCACATGCACTACAGTCAATCCTGTATGCAACATTAATTTTGTTCCGATCATGTATGGTTGGTCTCAGTTTTGTGGATAAGCTTTGAGTTGTGTCAGAAGGCAGTGTTGATGTGAGGAATGTAGGGCAAACTTATAAACTATTTATTAGTATTACTGGTTTCGTTATGATTTTGTGACTCATTACAAACACTATAACAGTTTTTAATGATGGGATTGAAAGACTTATGATAGTTATTCTGAGTTAGTGCGGATTTAACGCATGGAACAGGAAGGTCCTGTGATTAGCTACCCACAGTGTAAACTTCGCCGAGGATCACCGCACTGTGTGTAATAGTTTTTAGTGATTCAGCTACTAAATCCCACTCACCATCAAAAAATACTTCTAAAATTCAATACTTATAAGTTTCATAGTAAGAAAGTGAATAATGTTTACAATGTAAGATCGTAAGTAGCGTCGTAGCAAGCTGCTCAACTCCAGCACAATCCTTCGAAGAGATATTCAACCAACACGTCGTGCTACGTGGATGCTACAGCAGCTCTAACGTAGCGCTGCAGTATGTCGACCTTCTCGAGTGGTTCGACGATCGTTGAGATGCCACGAGTGGCCAAGAGAAGTACTCGCATAGGTGGTACTACAAACCCGACGGACGGGATTTCATTCCTATTACTTTTGCTGTTTGTTTCCTATGCTTCATGCCCGCCAAATCACGCTGTAACTCGCTGAAGAGAAGAAAATACAATAATTGTTTTGGCGTTTTGCAATGATTCCACAACGTTCTCACAACCGTCACTCATACTTTCAATATAGTTGTTTTTATATCCGTTTCTAAGTACAAAAAAAAAATAAAATTGTAGGAAATCATATTAAGAAGCTGAAAAAGCTTTCTTAGAACGTATGTATCTGCCATGTATCAATATTCTTAAGTTAAATGTAGAAAAAATAAAATACGTGGTTTTTGGGACAAAGCCCAACTGTAATATATTCTTAGAAAATAAATTTTGTATTAAGATAGATAATACTAAAATTAAAAATGCATCTAGTATGAAGTATACTAAGTGACATATAAATCCGGTTACCAGTTTAAATGGTTTTATTTTAATAAAATTTTGTATAAGTACTTAATGAAGCATAATAAGTAAATGATAAAAATTTCAAAATGATTGCACTGCTTTAAAGCCCTTTGACCTTTAATAATGTGTGGATGCACCCTGATGTGCTACGCATTCTCCAACGCGCCTAGGCATGCTTCTGATCAGGTTGTTAATGTTCTCCTGTGGTATCTCATTCCAGGCAACCACCAACTCCTCTCGAAGTGCTTCTAGAGTCTGAGGAGGACGTTGCAAATTGAGCAATCTCCTACCCATCATATCCCACACGTGCTCAATTGGGGATAAGTCGGGAGATCTTGGTGGCCATGGTAACAATGTGACATCATTATGTTGAAAGAAGTCTATTCTGACTCTTGCAACATGTGGTCGGGCATTATCTTGTTGGAAAGTTGGATCTGCCAGGGTGTCAAGATAGTGTAAAAGATGGGGTTCTAGAACTTCGTGGATATAACGCTGCGCGTTCATGTTACCTCTGATGAAGATTAAAGGTGACCTGGAACCATAAGCTATAGCACCCCAAACCATAACTCCAACAGTGTGATGAACATGTCTTTCAACAAAAACTGTGGATTCCTCCTTTCACCACGTCGCCTTCTAACCCTGGCACGACCATCGTGCATGCCTAAACAAAATCGAGACTCGTCACTAAAGACAATACTGTTCCATTCCTGATCCCAGAGTGACCGTTGTCTGCACCACTCAAGGCGATTACGTCGGTGTTCTCGAGTTAAAGGAAGGACCCAGTGTGGCCGGTATGAAAACAAGCCAAAACTTCTCATTCGTCGGTAAACACTTCGCATGCCAATAGGTTTTCCGTGTTCTGCAAACCATTCATTTGCAATGGACCTGGTAGTGGAGAAACGGTCCCTTAAGGCCAATAATCTTAGGCGGCGATCTTCACGGTCTGTTCTTCTACGGCGTCGTCCAGTGCCCCTTGCTCTTTGCGTACGGCCTTCTCGAAGCCATGCCTGACAACACCTAACCACAGTGTCTACACTTCTGTGCACTCTAACTGCAATTGCCCGAAAAGAAAGTCCAACTTCCCGAAGTCCCACTATACGGCCCCTATCAAACTCACTAAGTTGACGAAATCGTACAGGTCTCCGTACTCTAGGCATCGTAACCGATCGTAAAGGATGTCAAGAACCAAAATCCGCCAACGTTGATTCTTTACTGCGGCTGAAATATTCATTTTTAGAGCGTTAGTGAATTAAAAAAAAGCATTATAAAAACCGGAATGTCCAACTGATAAGGCTGAAAATTTTTTCACTTGTTATTTACAGTAAGATAAATACATTCACCAACTTTTATTTAAATAAAACCATTTAAACTGGGTGTTCGGATTTATACATATGTCACTTAGTATATTTGGGAGTGGTTTTAGATCCTCAGCTTAACTTTTCATTGCATGGTGATTATGTTAGAAAATAATTTGGGAAAAAATAGCATTCTTTAGGAGAATATCTGAAAGTCTTGGTCACTGGAGTCGTCTTCTTGTATATAATACAATCCTATATCCTCATTTTAATTATTGTTTTTTATTGTTGCTATCATGCAAATAAACTGATATTCAAAGGCTCCAGTTACTACAAAATAAGGCTATACGCACTATATTATTTTGTACACGTTATACGCCTATTAATTTAATGTTAAAAACTCTCGGATGGCTTTCAATACAGCAAAAGATTGAAATGTCATATGTCTTATTTATTTTTAAAACCAAAAATCAATTATTGCCTGAATACTCTCAGAAATATCTAATACCGAGGTCTGAGAGGCATGCATATAATATCAGATCACGTAACACTTTTGACATAGAATTCGCTAGAAAATCCCATATGCAAAAGTGTCTTTTTAGTGATGGTTTGAGACTTTTTAATGCATTACCTACAGAAATTGGAGAAGGACGTCTGTAAATATATTTATTCGTAAGGTTAAGCAATTGTATCTAGATAAAATGGCATAATACGAGTATATGTACTTTCTGTGTTAAGATATTATCTCGAATTTGCTATTGTTTCATATACTGTGGTTGCATTTACTATAATCTTAAAGGAATTTAGAATTACTGTTTTTTGTTTTTTACTTGAGTAAGACACTATTATAAACTATAGGAAGTAGCTTTAGAGCTGAGAATAATAAACATTTCATTTTGAGCGAAAAAGTGACCCACCAACAGATCCTGTTCAGATCCGCTATCTTCTTGATTAATCTTCAGTGTTATTCGTAAAAATATATAAGCCATCTCCTTAAAAATGTTTATTGTTCACCACAAATGCAAGATATTTCATGACTCTTAAAACTCCAATACCTAATTTCAATCTTTGTGACAGATTTACTTAACTCGTTAACTAGTATCATGGCAGAGCCCATTGATTTCCCATACATATTTGTATATCTACACCCTTATTAATATATATTTTTCAGATATACTGTGTGTTAAAGAATGTTGTCAGATAATTGAAAGTTCAATAAAGGTTCATATAAACAGGGCTAGAACTTTCTACAGTACAGTGTGTGTAAACATCATGTTTAGCAAGTAATTCTACGCCACAGGTTTTTGACGCTTTCATAAAACAATATCGATTCTACTTGACAAGTGTCTCTAAGAGTCTCTCGTTATGTTAAAGTATGGAATAATTTTATATTTAGAAAACGGTACGATTGAACAATAAACCTCAAGAAGTAGTTTTTAAGTGGAATCAATCAAGATACTGATATCAAAGGCGGTCAAGTTGAAACGCCCGATATTAAAGAAACGACGCATTTCTCGTTTGTAAGAACCCTTTTCATAGCTTAAATTGGTTGAATCTGTTCTCCGGTTTTTCTGACAACACTCTGTAACACCATGTTAGAGTATATCGGAGAGGAAGTGAGAAACAAAGAGTCTAAGCGTGCTTGCAAAGCGTTTAGTTTTTGTTGATATGATAGTGGGGAAGCAATGAAAATGGATCGTATTGTCATAGAACACACAGATCTTGAGGAGGAGGAAACAATGATTTGACAATAGATTTCGATGTTAGGCCTACTCAAATAGACCTTCAAAAGATCAAATATCTAAACTCGTAAAAACTATAATCGTCGCATCTGGACTCAGTTACTAACCATTTCTTAGATATAACATTCATACACATGTATGAAACGCTGGTGAGTTCAAACCAAATACTATGTCCAGCGCTTTGGATTGCGACTCTTCCGTGCGACCGCCCGATGACAGCTGCAGTTAGACTCGCCTTGGTGGAAAAATTACATGCGCACCTCCGCGCAGATCATTTTCTTGGCGGACACTGACGGAAACATAAGCGCTCAGCGTATAGGGTTAGCAGAGCTTCCAGTGGCGGTGTTAGGAATATTTAGACATTACTTTTGCCTTTTTATCTCACCATAAATTCAACATACCAAAACAGTACCTACGGAGGCTATATCAATAAAGCCGATCTATGTTCCTCTTCATGTCCAGAAAACAAGGTTAAAGAAAGATGGCATTTATGGTAACAGTGGAAGTGGCTGACGCAGTATTACGCAGCGGTTACATACAGTGTTTAGCTTTCGGTTTTAGTGCTAGTTACTGTTTGAACTATTTTGAAAATGGTCAATTTTTGTACATTGGAAGGAAAAATCGAAGCGATTTTTACCTATGGCGCGACGTGTAACTTTCACGAGACCGAAAGGATTTTTAATGATCGTTTCCCGAACCGTCAGGTCTGTAGAAAATATTTGAGGGAACTTGTATCTGAATTTACAGCTACTGGTAATGTAAATAACAAAAAACCCCCAGGTCATCTGACCATCCCGGAAAAAAGCAAGTTCAGATAATTGGTCAGATCATAGTAAATCCCCAGCAGTATACTTCCTCCATCGCGAATGTAGGTGAGGTTTGTCCTTCTCCTGTATGGAGATTTTTGAAAAAGTATAAGTATCACCCATACAAAATTCAAATGGTACATCAGCTAACTGAAGATGACCCTGATCGGGGAACAGAATTCTGCGAGACTATGATGGAAACCATTGCACAGCATCCTACCTATATCTAAAATATTTGTGTTAGTGATGAATGTACATATTTTCTCAACGGTAATGTGCATAGAGAAAATTGTCGTTATTGGAGTGAGACCAATCCTCACCTCTTCCGGGAAACTCATACTCAATATCCACAAAAAATTAACGTTTGGGCTGGGATATTGGGAAATCATATTGTGGGGCTTCTACTCATCGAAGAAACTTTAACCGGGGAACTATATTTGGGTATGCTGGAAAATACTATTGACCCTCTAATCACCGAAATCGTCGAAGCGGATCCTAATGAATTCAATACTGATATTGTATTCCAGCAAATGTTGCTCCACCACACTACTCCAGACAAGTTAGGAATTATTTAGATAAAAATTTTCCCGGTCGTTGGATTGGCCGTCGAGGACATGTGGAATGGCTAGCTCGCTCGCCAGATTTGACACCTTTAGACTTTTTTTGTGGGGCTTTTTCAAGCAAAAGCTGTACGAAACTGAACCTGCTTCAATATTGGATATACCGCTGAGAATAACAAATATTTGTATGTTAGAAATATCGTTGTTACTATGTTTGAAAATGTTCGACGCGAAATTCCAGACCGACTGTTATTGTGTCAAGAAGTTCAAGGCAACCATTTCCAGCACCTTCTAAACTGAACTCAACGTATTTATTCGAATTATCAAGTTATACGTCAATGTATTCAGGTAACTATTAAATGTACCATCATTTTGTAGTAGGTAAAGGTATTGACTTTATATTCTAGGGTTATAAAGTACTCGTCATGAGCTTCAAAATGATGTGCCTCAAGACCCCCGCTTTCATATAATTTTTTTTCCAAAATGGCGCCCAGCGGCCATCTTGACATTTTTATCTGTTAATTTTACTCGAAAATATGGTATCTACGCATCAATTTTATTACGTTAAGTTTTAATTATTAGAATTGAACTGTTCAAAAAAATCAAAGGGTGGGGGTGCATTAAAGAGAAGCGCTGTATAATATTCAAAAATATTGTCAATACATTTGCGAATGTGATAGGTCCGTGTACTCGTATTATATAGGTATAGCTTTACAACTGAGTTTTATGATATTTTCATACTTAAGTACATGGTATTAACAATACCTTTTTATCTGCAGTGAGGCAAATTTCACTTAACCTCAAAACAAAAAAGAAAAAATACACGCTACAAGAAACATGACAACGTACATACGTAATGAGTCTACATACCTAGTCAAGTTTCGATTTCATTACTATCCTAAAAAAAACAGGTGAAAAGTTAACTTTTTTTCACAGTTTCGTTTTAGTTTTCTAAAAAAATGTAAATTTTGTCCAGTCTGTTAAAAATATAAAGTAGTAAATAATCGTTCATATTGTAGGGAAAAATAATCTAATAGAAGACACAATTGCGTAGGTAGCATAGGGTCAATCTACTTGAGACATTTTTTATGTAGAAGGTGTAACAACCTCTGCATATTGAACAACTAACGTCACTTTAATTTTAAAGTCCTTACGTGAGCATCTCACATGATATATTGAATTAACAAGTGACAACTTTGGAATGAAACCTAAACACGAACACGTATTTCGAAAAGGTGTGTATTTTGAGTTTTTGTAATCCTGGATTAACAAAAGCAAGTTATACGTTCTGTAAAAAATTTCGTCTTACAGCCTGAGTTCTTTGTAAGCTTCAGGCATTCGAACTCTCACTAAAAATGAGAAACGATCCCTTCTAAGCCATAAAATATGACCTTAGCAACTTCCGGCTTGCAAAGTAATTCGTTTGAATATGTTGGTCAAAATGAGACGTATTCGCAGTATTTTTCAAGAAGCAAACTGAACAAGTAAACGCCTCGAAGTGTGTAGCTGCTGCATTCTTGTTAAGGAAAGGACAGGTTATAAACAGAATGTACAGAGAAAAGGTATGCTGGTAGGTTATTTTTTTAGAGTCACTCTATCAGCGTCGGTATTTAAATTATTGTTGCTTAAACTAGTTTACCAGTCGTGCATGAGCGTGTACAGAATCCAAAATATTAGAAAATATCCAGAAGAATTGCCAGTAGCTCGTATAAAGCAGGTCTAGATCATGTTTGAGACGAGAGAAGAAGTAACCTCCGTTATTCCAAAATACTTTCACTCCTGTCTGGAGCTGAAGATTAATAAGCATCCTAAAACAAAAACTAGGGTATAAAGTAGGTCCAAAAATGATTATTATTATGAACAGGAGACACTTTTTTTGTTAGATTACTACTACTTTCAGAGAAAGAAATTGTTTTTTGAGGTAAAACCGATTTGAGAAAACTTAAGTCTTTGAAAATGTGCTGAAGATATTACTGTAATATCGTATCACCACAGCGCTATTTGGAGGATATTCATGTTTTCAAATCGGTAACGTCAGTGACGTAGACATCTACAACTTTTTACGTTTTTTTGGATACAATTTCCGTACCCTAGGAATATAAGAATTGTAATGTGGAAGCTTATATTTTCTATTGAGAGTTCTCCGGGAGTCTTGTCCTTTTCAAGCCACCAAAAACTGCACTATCAATGCAACACTCATTTAGGATTATGTTCGGCACAGCTCTGCGAAAAGCTGAGCTACAAGCATGTAAAACAAGGTAATTGAATGGATCAAGTCAATCAAACAAGGCCTTGCAACCAGTCTCTGCGGAGGTAAGTACTTATATCCAGATACGCGAGTATTGAAAATATTCCTCTATCATCATGAGCTTAAAGGGAAAATGTATGGGCTAATTTATGATAAGTGAAATATGTCTAACAGGTGCATAGAATTACCAGGGCTGGAAGCGTATGAGTATACTGAGGTCAAAAACATGAGATATACCCACCTCCTAAAATCCCTTACCCTTAATTTTTTGACCCTACAAATTGTTTCCCGAAAATAATCAGGAGTCTCTGGAATGTAACTTTTATTCTTTTCCGGCACTAGCTTCGCCGTCACTAGACCGATTTTCAAAACCTACAAGGCTTGTTTGTCCCTGAAATAGTGATAAGCTTGTGAAACAATTTATCACAATCCGAGCGGTGCTATACAAGTTATAAACTGGGCAAGTACAAATAAAATGTAATGGTGGACAAATATGATATCTGATGCATGACTTATTTGGATTAAAAACCTAAACTCAAGTTCTGTAAGTACTTGACATTTCTCAGCGAAGGTTCTGCATCTTTGAGTCAGATTGCCCAATCGTAAAAGGATAGCTGACCATATGTTGGTCAATTGCTTTATGTTGTATCTCACACTAAAGTCACAAAATGCCATCATCTAGGACGAATGTTACTGAACACTGTGAAGGAGTAAGCCCGATACTAATGTCACTTAGCATCTGACTTTGATCTTTTTTAAGTCTAAATCGTCTCCATAAAGAGAAGTGTCACGCTTGGTGTCTACCTGTCATTATAATAAAATACTCGTATACTACATAATACCTCGACCGGAAATGCAAGCTTCTAATTATAAGCTTCGGATGAATAAGTTTGCGACGTTGATTTTGTGGTTCTGGAAGTTCAGCTTTGCAAACAAGGAATGCTAAATTATAGCAATCATGTAAGTTGGTGGGGATCCATGCAGCTTTAAAATTGATTGAAAAAACGCTCATATCAGTAGTTGAGGCATTCGTGTAGAGGTAAGCACTTTATAATGCATTTCACCAGTCTAATATGATACATATATTTAGCTCTAGAATAGCTTTTTGCACAAACGTATGTATTTTTAAAGACTATATGCATGAATTGCTAGCCTGTGACTGTTCTCAATGCAATGTTACACCGTAGTATAAAATTTTATTTGTTGAAACCATTTCAGTTTCTACTCGATGTCAACAAAATGACGAAAAGAAGGGTTACTTGACGTAATATCGTGACTTGGTACGTCTAGTTTCTATCGAAATATATTAATTTTTTTACATTAGTGAATGTGTAATCTTAGAGGTTGTAGCGCTATACAAGAGGTCTTTATTACATACAAATTTCTCTAGAATAAATTCATCCGACAACCATAATGTGCTATGAGTCAAATGTAATGACAATTTTTCACCCTGATGTTATATATTTTATTCTGGTAAGATCAAGAAAATAAAAGTAATAGCTGGATGAACAAAGAGCAATTACGTGACGATTTGCTATATAATTTTGGGCTGTCTGCAATATTGTCAGATATTTGTCACTTCCTGCCCTAATACTACAGGGCTTAGGTTGTAGATGCAATTAATGCTATTAATAGGACGAACTATCAGATTCGCAAATGGTGGAGCGTATAGGAACAAAAATACAGTGTTATTTTGATAATGATCACTAATTGAAAATTTAGTTCAGCCTATTATTTGATATTTTTAGGTAATATCTGTTGCGGAGATGCCATTTTTAAGCTTAGCTAGGTGTTTCATTAGTCCTTAAGTAATCTACGTAAGGTACTTTTGTACATATGCTGTACATCGTCTCTTCACCAAACTGTGTAATGATCTGTCTAGAATACAATTTCTTGTACAAGATTTGGTTCAATTTTAGAGACAAGACGAGAAATTACTTTGTTTCTAAAAATGCCTGTTTCACATGTACTCAATTTATTTTACAAGAACGGATTTTGAGTTTACTTACCTGACTAAAAATCAATCCAGAGTGGGTGAAATTCAAAATATGGAATGGAACGTCAAAGTGTAAACGAATCGACACATGATAAAAATAATAATAAGTATGTGGGGTCAGGTTTCTGGCCACCGTACAGATGCGCAAGCGCCAGGATTATAAATTGTGTGGAAATAGAACATGTTTTATGTTCCAATTTCTTGTTCAATTTGTTGTATGTTACTATACATTATATTCTGTTTGAGAAATTGAACCAAATTCGGAACCAAAAATTGTGTAATATAACATCAATAAGGTTTGGCGCGTGACCGCTTGTTGAAGTCTCCGAGATTTCAACGATAGATCAGACGAGAATCTTAGCTGGTTGCGTAGATGCCAGGATAAACTGTTTCGTAATACTATTGACGTTTAGCAGCATGGGTTTCTATTGGAGTAGAGGTTAAATTATTTTATTCAAATTATGAGTTTTCCGATTGTTTCATTGGGTATCTTCGTAGAACATATACATATATGGTGAAAAATAAAGCTTCCGCCTTTAGTTGGGTACTTCGACAAAATTCAAGCAATGAGGACTCTTTATACTTTATTAGTCTCTAGCTTTCAACGGACTTTGCCATCTTCATCAGGAGCTGCAGTAACATTGAGAAGAAATGGCAACTATTGTGCAAACTGACTTTAAATTACTTACAATAGTATGTGAGATTGTTGCTAAATGTTAACGTTAACGGTTAAGTTGAGGGAAATATTTAGCAACAATTTCACATACTATTGCAAGTAATTTAAAATCATTTTGCACAATAGTTGCTATTTCTTCTCAATGTCATTGCAGCTTCTGATGAAGATGGCAAAGTCCATTGAAAGCTAGAGACTAATAAAGTATAAAGAGTCCTCATTGCTTGAATTTTGTCGAAGTACCCAACTAAAGGCGGAAGCTTTATTTTCCACCTAACTGGTCTAGACGACAATGACCACGTCTAAAGTTATATATATATATATATTTGAGATTCTAACGAAAAACATTTTTGTTCAATTTTCCTGATACCACTTTTCGATGAATTATATACAACCTCAAGATAGGTATCGTGTTTGAAGCACAGCATACTGTATATTTTCAGTACCTCGATCTAACCGAATTCTGAGTTTCCAATGAGATAACTATTTCGGATGGCCTATTCGAAAATAACTGTTTTGTCAGAATCTAAGTTTAATGCTTTATATAAAAACTAAGCGTTCCTTCGAAGGTGAATTGGGTACAAAGGTTCTGTCCAGGTAGATGCGGAGGATCCCTCGATAAAGCATCGTGATAAAACATTTCTTGGCGTAATAAAAAGTCGAAAGACTCAAATGTGAGAATGAAAAGTGACTACTAAAGCCTCTGCAAGGGCGAGGATGATCGTGAACATTTACTTAGGACCAGTGGCGTCGCACAATTAATTACGCATTGAAATCACAGATTGCCATAGCCATCAAAAGTGCAGGATTTGAATCCGTTAAATTTTTGGAGACTTTGGCTTTCGATGAGTTATTTTTCTATTTAATCCAATCTAGATTAATTTGTGAACAAATCGGGACATAGTAATTTTGACAAACTTGTTCATTACAATTTTTCTAACAGGGTGTGAAAGTATCTTTTTTGAAAACGAATCATCACCTTGAAGTTTAGTCAGGTACATAGAAATTAGGCCGAGATATTTTAGAACATTGTACTGTAACTCAACTAGCCTAATGCAAATTAACGAACTGCGAATGGAAAGTTTCAAAAAACAATATGTTTGAAACATTATATGACAAATGACAAGCAGCAGAGAAGGATGCAGAAATAAGCGAGCCTATCTAGAAATCGCATAACTAGTTATACCAAATACAAATTAAATTGAACAAAAATAAGGTAAACAAATGTTATGCACCTTACTTAGTTTTTTCATAGATTTTTCAATGATCTAATTTCACCAACTGATGTTATAGAGCAACATGAATTCTGCTTCAGAGAAACGGCATTTAGAATGCATATAAACTGAATTCAACTCTCCAGACTAATTCAGAATCAAGATAAAAATGTAGAAAAACCTAGTATACAGGTCCAGACTCTCAGCATCACCCTAGGTCAGACTTGGTTACATAACGCACACATAGTATAGCAAACGATAAAATGTTAATTCCGCACGGGTATTACGTATCTTAAAAAGTGATATTTCGTTGGCTTTGTTTTACATTTAGTAGGGTTTTGACATTTTGTAAGTTCTTCTACAAGATGTTAACTAGCACAGGCTGTTGTACACTTGTTGTGGATATCAAGAGATATCAAAAAAAGCACCACTGTTACAAAGAGTTTGAGGAAACTGGGAATTTGGAGCAATATAACGACTTTAAACTTCTTAGATCTAAGATAAAGTTGAATGTAAGTCATGTATACCAAAATTACATAGTTAATGTTCAAGATAATATCCCAAAGGATTTTGGACTTTTATTCACCTGTTACTTGTGACATAGACCAAGAAGCATGTAGTTCTGAATCTCTATCAGTCCCTGTTTTTAGCGAAGAATGTATAGTAAGAGCCTGCAA